GGGGGGGAGACAGCAGCTAGTTGTTCAGCTAAACTCAATCTTGTCTGCAAAGACGGACCCAAGAGAAAATCCCGAAAAAAAACCTGCATCTCAGTCGCGTGTGAGAAGAGTATTTCGAGGTCATCCACCAATTAGGCCAAAAAAAAATATGTGGGTTTCCGGTTTCCCGACCCTACCTAGCTTTTGGACGTCGAAATCCCGACCCTAAACTTTTTTATTGGATCATGCTTGTAAGTGTTTCCACTTAGAGGAAAAAGTTTGTGGAAAATTGAAATTTGAGGCAATATTGGGGAAATTTATCTTTGGATGTGGAAGCACTGACTAAACAAAATGGCGTCCGCTTGTTCGGAAAATTAAAAAAAAAGTTTAAAAAAAAAGTTAAAACCGACCTACCCTACCTAAGTTTTTATAAGAAGAAACCGGAAATCACATATTTTTTTGGCCTTAACAACGTTGGTCTCTTCGGGTACTCCGGTTTCCTCCTGTAGTATTTAACACTGAACCAAAAAGAGATGAACCTTAAGGCCCATTTCCACTCAGGAAAATTTTCCGCAGAAAGAAAATTTTGTAAAATGTGAAGGCCCATTTCCACTCAAGAAAATTTTCCGCGGAAAAAAAATTTTGTACGATTTGATTGGCTGACACAAATTTTCCGTCGGAAAAAATTTTGAAGTTGAAAATTTTCAACTTTTGACAATGATATTTTCGGAAAATTTTCTGTCCGTGGAAATTTTTCTGGAGTGGAAATGGGCCTTTATTGGCCGACACAAATTTTCCGTTGGAAAAAAATGTTGAAGTTGAAAATTTTCAACTTTTGACAATGATATTTTCGGGAAATTTTCTGTCCGTGGAAATTTTTCTTGAGTGGAAATGGGCCTTTATTGGCCGACACAAATTTTCCGTCGGAGAAAAATGTTGAAGTTGAAAATTTTCAACTTTTGACAGTGATATTTTCGGGAAATTTTCTGTCCGTGGAAAATTTTCTTGAGTGGAAATGGGCCTTTGCTGGACTTGTACGGAAAACAGCTCAGAACTGATAAAGTTCTCCATTATTTATAATGTTAGTTCCGTTATCTACCTGTGTGTGAATCAGCATTTCATTAACACTTTTGAGATTGATATCTTGTGATGTGATTATGCTTTCGGATTTCTTCAATTTGTCTTTGAGTGCAGCTGTGAGAGAAACAAAGTCTTTTAGAATTTATTCATCACAACATCCTTCTTGGAAATAGTAGAATTTTTGATAAAATTTCTTGATGAATTGCTTCTACGAACCTTCATCATTCTTCGTAGCCTCCAAGTGTTCACGATTCTCGCCCAAGTCTTTTACCAATGCAGAGATCTTGAAGTCTTTTTCCACCTTCTCCTCACTTAGAAGAGTAATCTAGAAAATGTATAGATATATTTTTGTAGTACACCTTAGACGAAAGTTTGATCTAGCCAAGAAGAACGAAACCATTACCATAGCTGGAAAGAGAATCTTAAAATGAGTAAAATTGCAAAGTTTGGTTGCGAAATGTTGTAAAATGAGGAAAATATAGCCCTGTGAAGTTCCCAAATTTTGTATATATTTGCATTCTGCCCGGCAAAAATAACCATTTTTGATTATTTTGGTTATTTTTACCGCGCTTCATACAAATATATACAAAATTTGCGAACTTTACAGGGCTATATTTTCTTCATTATACCGCAACATTTCGCAACCAAACATTGCAGTTTTACTCATCCTAAGATGCTCTTTCTAGCTGTGGTGTTGGATTTCGTTTTTCTGTTGCCTAGATCAAAATTTATTATTATTATTATTATTATTATTATTATCTTCACATTTATCCAGGATACCCATGGGCATCACCGAAGTGTTTGAAAAAAAATTAGTCTGTACTGAGTTGGAATCCGACAAATTTGGCTCTAATTTCCGCTTCAAATTTTCGGGTGGGGGTTGCTGAGCAAGCTAACTTTCTCTCTATACCTGCTTTTCTTTTTCGTGAATGTTTTGCGTAGTTTCCGCAATAACTGCCGAGTGTCTCTCGTGTTGTTTTTGCACTGAAAAAGAAACAAGTGTTATTCAGTGTTATATTTGCACTTGAGTTAAATGTGGAATGAGCGTTGTCAGTATGAACAATGCTACAATCCTGGTAAAAGTTAATGAAACGCGGGTGGTTGTTCAGAAACAATATAACCAACCCCCTTCCCCCAAACAATGTTGATATTACACTGTGAATAATACGCAGAGTAGGTTTGTCGATTGCAAAGAACACCTTTTCATGTTTTAACTTATAGCTAACCAACATTGTAAGATAGGGGGGATAAAAAGGACAAAACAGCAAATCAACCGAGGTGTTTCATTAGTTTTTGCCATGATTGTAGTTTAGTTTAATCGTCTTACATTTATCTTTCATTTCGTTATACTTGGTTGAATGTTGTATTTCTAATTCCTGAAATTTTACCACCAGTTCCTAGAAACCAAACGAAAAAAGGTTAAAATCTTCTAAAACGAAAATCATATTTCATTATCATTGAATGGTGTGTATCTTACTTGAAACTGTGCCAAGCGTTGCTTTTCCGAATAATGTAACTCTTCGCGGTCTTGTTCCCCTTAAAATGTATAAATCGTTTCAATTTCGTAACTAGAGCCTAACCCAACATATACCTGCGGCATGTTGGCGGGCTATTGTCGTTATACAACCAAATAATTCACAAAAGAATGTATGCATCAACAGCTCAGGGTGCGATAATTCG